CTATAAACCTGTAAAGGATCCCTGTAGCTGTGTCATTATTATAGTACTGCTGTTAAGAAGGCCACGGTACTGTAACACTACTAATTACTATTTATCTAAATACCAGATTGATCGATATACAAAATTTTCTAATTTAATATTATTCAAAATCCTACTCTATGTGAGTGGTTTTTGACCTGATTAAATGCCGGTTGAAAAAATCCTCTATTTTATGCTAAAAAACAAATAATTTATTAGTAAGAAACTGAATTGGGTACTTATTTTATATAATATTTTTTTGATACAGAAAAATAGTCTTTTTTATCTGCATGTAAAACAAATTACTAAAAAAGGGGTTGGTTAAATAAAATGCTGAGTGGTTTTTTAAAAACCACTCGATAATTAATCGATTTATTTAATGGGTAGTGAAAAAAAGTTAAGGTTTTTCGAAATTGAGTTCCTAATCCAAAAATGAATCTAAAAAATTCATATTCATATAGATTTTGAACGATCATGGCGACATTTTTTTATAATTTAGCATATCTTGACCATTAATAGACTTTTGTAGAGAGAGTATTCATCTATTAGTATGTGAATTTTTAGGATATTTGGTCAAGTATTCGTTGAGATATTAACGATTTACGTTTTATTTTCATAGACGAACATTCGTTTTTTGATAAAAGAAGCATGGTACCCCAGGCAGATTAATTATTTTGATTCTAAACCTGTTACTGCGCATTAATTACGTTTATAGAACATATCTCAAATTTATACTATATAAAGTTTAATAGGTTTTGAACAAATATTCATCTAGTTATAGTATTTTTTCGTTAAAAAACTATTGACGAATTTTTTATTTTGATATTTACAGGAACGTTTTCATTAATTTAACTATTTTATTAAAAGAAAATATTATGTACGATGATAATAAAGTTGGTGTAGATGACTTTCAAGAGTATACATATTAAATTTCAAGTCAAACGAATGAATATTCGTAAAATTAGATCATTTTGTGATGAAACGATTTTTGTATTGTCTTTGCAGTTCATTTCTTTAAAATCGCCATCAGTATAAAAATTATGTTTTACAAAATTTTTTATTAAGTTAATCAACTTTATTTTCTTAACAAAAAATGTAGAACTCATCAAAAAACATGTAGTTTCATAGTATGACTTTATTTATTTTATTAATAAAATTTTTCACAAATTACATTTTAAAAACTATCAAAATTTTTAAAAAACAAAAAAATTTATCTTATTTTTTAGTGATATGTATCAGTCTTACAAGATTGTAAGTTTCCGAATCTCGCTGCTTGGAAGCTACATATCATGAGATTCTGGTGAGGAACATATTCGTGAGCACCAACCCGTACCAAAATAATCTTCACCTATAATAGAAATAAAGACAATAGTCTCATGACCGGGCATTTACAACTCTATACAAGGACTATTAACCACTATACTTTAGATGCATCCTAAAATGCAAGAAGGGGATATAGTATTAATAGCCAGGCCGTCCACAACTATATGTGGTCTTATTTTTCTATATAGAATCTAGAATTATTTTGTATACAATATGCTCTATAGTTGGTGGGGTTATTTATACATTCAATAAATTATAATTGTTATTTATAATATAAACATAATATACTCTCTGTCAAATTTTGAAAATACAAAAAAAAGTAAATATAGTCCAAAATAAACTGTAACAATGTTTACAAATAACACTTCAACTACACGAATCCTTTTTATTTCAGTGAGATTTACGTATAGAATTATAAAAATCGGATACAAAAACTTTTTGTAAATTATCTTAATATAGTGAAAACAATGGGTATATTGAAAAAATTATAAAATTTCAACAAATTCACAATATTTCTCATGTATTGATTATCGAATCACAACAATATTTCAATATTATTAAATAAGCCAAAAATATAATTCAAAATAAAATCTTCAAATTCTTTGATATTAGCAGCTCTATAATGGTCTCTTTCGTCTTCAGCATCTCTCAAAACAATTTTTAATATATCATTCAATTGCATTAGATTCTCATTTGCTGCACGAATCTGATTATTATCTGTTTCAAGTCGATCCTTTTCATTCACAAGTTCTTCAACTCTATGAATCAATTCATTTTTATCGAAATTTAAAGCGCGTATTCTTTGTTCTAATTCATAAACTTTTATTGTTAGTCTGGAGTTTTCTGCAATTACTATTTCACCTCCCGTAATTCTTGGTTCCATTTTTTGTTAAAACTCATTTTCATAACCTCAATTTATTTTTATACCTTATTTCAAAAGAATTAATATAGAAAGAAACAAAAAAAGAACTCAATAGTTTATTAACGAATATATTTTTTTTATTTATTTTATTTTAATACAAATTTGTTCATGTACCAAGACTACAATGCTCTCTTAGATTCACAAACTTAAAACTTGCTACGATTAAGATGGTGTTTGGAATCCTATAATTTATTCTTCAAATTAAATATATATAAACTCTACATTTTCTTTAAGAACTAAAATGGTTTTTGAAATTGAGATTGGTTCAAACCTATCTTATTGTTTGATCCAACTTGCAAATGCTTTTATACTTTGTTTATTCTTACTCTGTTTCACATTTATCATATTTTTTATTTCCAATAAACAACTCTCTAATCAGTCCAAAACCGATTAGATTTTTCTTCACACAATTCTCTTCCGAGGCTTAAAAGGTGAGAGAGCTCCCAACTATATTTTGTTTAGAAATTCGTTTTTTTCACTTTATACTAACTCTCACTTTCTACCTGGTAATTTATTATCTTTGTATTAATTCAACTTCTGTTAAATGACTGCAAGATGTCAAATCTTACGTATTATTCAACATTAGGTTATTATGCAGTTCGTGTTGGCCATAAACCAGGAATTTACTTGTTACTGGAACAATGTAAACAACAGATTCATAAATTTCCTGGTGCCTTGTATAAAAAATTTAGTACGAGACAGCAGGCTGAAGATTTTATGAAACCAATAGATACTAAAGACAAATTATCAGTTTGGACTGATGGTTATTGCTACAATTGTGAAGAAAAAAATGGTAAAAAACAATATTTAGGAAAATTAAATTCAATCGCTGGAGTGGGTGTATTTTTTAAAGATAATGATTCTAGAAATCTGTCTAAACGACTTCCTGGGAAAATTCAAACAAATAACCGAGCTAAATTTATGCCGCTATTCATGCATTAGAAATTATTGATAAATATCAAGATATTATTATAAATATGGATAGTATGTATGTGATTAATTCATATAATAACAAAATACCTAAAAAAAATACAGATCTTGTATTCAGATTTAATGATTTAATCAAAGAATGAAAAGGCAAAACATATTTCAATCATGTGAAAGGACATAGTGGCATTTATGAGAATGAACAAGCAGACAGATTAGTATATTTAGGTTCAAAAAAAAAATTTACTAAATTAGAAATACCAACATCTAAAAGATTAATCGATTATTATTTTATAAAAAAATCGGTTGATAATTTAGAAAATGCAAGCGAATCTTACATCGATGAATTTATTCATATATTACAAATTTTAGAAGCAGATAAGAACAAAGATAAACTAATAATCGTAACAAAGAACAAAAATATATATCTGATATTTATTGAAAATAGAATCGATAAATGGTTAAAGAATGGTTGGAGAACAGGGAAAGAAAAGATTAAATTGAAAGCACCTAAAGATGTTTGTTTACGAATTAATGAGATAATTAAAAATAGAAAAAATGAAATAGCATATATTCATAAATCTAAAAAAAAGAGAATGTAATATTATTTATTAATAAATTTTATTTTTTAATAAACTAAATAATAAAAAACTTTGAGGATCGTATCTCGTAAATGTCGCAGGCTTTAGTCAAGATGCCGTACAAGGATGATCTTCAAAGTTTCTGATACAAAAAAAAACAAATAAAAACCTGTCTCTTGCGGGCTATTCAACACGGAAGTTGAATTAATACAAGGGTAATAAATTACCAGGTGGGTATAAGTTTTGTTTGAGATGTTTACTATGATGATTCGAAATAAGACTGGAATCGAGCTGTATCATCAATTTAGAAATTTCATATCAACGTAAGAACAAATCAAACATTATTTGAATTTAATTATCTAATCAGTAATAAACTGATTAGATTTTTTTTTTTTAGTATTATTAATTTTTTATAAATAAATAATAAATATTTTATAAAATTAAATGCGATTTGTATTGGCGATTGGGAGGTGAGGGACCCAATCAAAAATTCGTATCAAATAATATTAACAAACAACCTACGATAAGTACATGCGAGGCCAGCGACATGCCAAAAAAAAAGCTCTTGGTAAGGCAAAAAGTTTAATTATAATCTAATCAGTTTAAAATTTATTATTTTTATTTTATTAATAAAAAATTATAACTTA